CGTTCGCTGCGCTTCTCACTCCATCTTCTACGGTCTCTACTCTTTTACCGTGATGTACACTGATTAAAGACAGTTTCGGAAAGTTTTCTTTTCTCCTGCGTTTTATTCAATGCAAGTTGCCATTATTAAAACAGTCTTAAAGAAGCGGTATGATGTGGAAACCATACAATTTTATCTCCATAGGCTAATGATAATATAAACCTTTGTTTTGGTGGGTCGCTGGGACTATTTTGGTTTTAATTTTTCGACTATCAAGTGAAAACATGTCTAAGAGGCAAGGCAAATCATGTAACATTGGAGACATTAGTGAACCCACAAATTCAACGAGTAACTAAGAGCTTTATAACCCCATGCACTGTCACCAAAGTCAGCTTCTTTTCTGCCATCTTCTTTTATTTTAAAAGAGGAAAGTTTCGCCACCGTTGTCCCAATTCCGTGATCGGCACCTGAACAACCAGCTCTGCCCCCTCCAATCATGATCACAGAACCGCCCCAACCACTGCTACACCAGAAGCCGACTTCATCAGCACCTTGTAGGTCACCGCTGCATGAAGCCTGTCCGAAACCCTTAGTTGTTAGGTATTGTCCGCCATAGTGAACATTGCATTTTCCGAGGCACTTACCACCGGACCAGACTGAACCGTTTCTGAAGTCACCGTAGCTGGTAATTTTGGAGCGGAATGTCTGCCCGCTCAGACAATTCCCTGTTGTTTGCAATAAAGGAATGTGTCCAGAGTCATCATTGCGCGTGATCTTAAGCTCACTGCCACTGACCAGCCAGAACGATGGCGAGATCATGTCTGCGTTGTATGACGGGTCAGCGGTTTCTCCAGCAGCTTGAGTACTGTCGTACCACCAGTCTCCTGAGTCATCCATCCAGTTTTTAGTGTCTGTGTTTGAAAACCGAGCGAGGAGAGTCCAGGCCTGATCCACTGATACCATGTCACAATAAACCTGGAAACGAATTAAGAATTCCATGCAAACTTCCATTTAATAATCCAAATTTATTTTTTCGTGAATTGTCCATGAGAAAGAAATTATTAATTCCAAACATTCTTACTTTTTACGATACAGCTCTATTTTTTTCAATTATCTAAGAGTAGAAGATTAATAATTTAGATACCAGAAAGTTCTTGGATTTCATGTTTGTCTCCTGGGATTCCAGCCAATATCTACCGCTGACCGCCATCCCCTGTTCGCTGGCTTTGATCTCTCCACAAGACTCGGCGGGCATCTCGGGAACGGAGCCTAATGAGACTTTGGAAAAGGAACAGTAAAATGTTTCTCGTTCGATGAAAATTACCTTCTTGATACTCTAACGTTCTATTTATCAAACAAATTTTGTTTTCAATAAAGAAGAGTCAATTGTGGTCATATCATTATATCGCATAATATAGTTATGAATCTAACAATACCTTGAGTACTATATGCTTACAACTGATATGTTGAATTTTATTTTAAGAGAAATCCAGTTAGTAGCGGAAAACAAGAATGCTCTGAAGCTAACATCTTTCAGAAATAGCGTTGGCTAACGTCGTTAAGTTCTTATCCCTGCCCTGCACAACCTGCCTTTCCGTTTGAACAAAGGAGACACCTACGTGAACCTCGTTCCCCCTCCAACACTTTTATTATTGCGAGGCTTTGATCGGATAAACTAAACAAGTGATTTTTACCTCGTTCCAATGACAACACTGACAGAATCAGTAACATTTTTATTTAAGCAGCGATGTTGTGATGCAGAACTTTTCAATTCTTTGCCGAAGGTAATCCGAGTTTGCATCGGTTTGTTTTACTTCGCTCTGTGAATGGTTAAGAAAATTCATCCACTCTCTCGATCGATCAGGTGCGAAACTGAAACCAATAATGGCCACGACTTGGTCGCTCGCGTTTTCTCGCTCTTTTGAGAGTTTGGTTTTTTCCTGACTTTGAGTCTGTTCTCATTGGCTCTTAAAGGTAGTTTCCTATCTTCTGATTGGCTGTTTTGATTACTTCAAACGAGTTCCCCCCCCCCCGGTCTGTTTGCATGTGGCTCTCGCTCCTTCTCCAATACAACCTCTCTATTCCAAAAGTGGTTGAGAAATAGGTTACCGCCATACGAATGGCTAAAAATATATTTCGTTGAGGAATTTCAACTTAACAAGACAAATTGGCTATGATTTTCCAGGAACTGAAAGGAAGTTGACATTTATAATTATATCACAGATTAAGATAAGCTTCCATTTGGTTCTAACTTTTACTTTATAATAAATATTTTGTTTCATTGTATCCGTACCTCTGTTCTTCCACCGTCGCACGTAGAATCTAGTTTCATCTCGGACAAAATCTTCAGGTCTCGCTTCTTTGGTTCTGTTATTCAGCTCGCAAAAATTACCAGCCGTGACGTAATTGTAGCTCTGACATGTGAATTCGCTGGAGCAGAACATAAGACATTCGTACGGATTTTGAACCCTTTTCGATTTAAAGACGTGACCTTTGAGAGCTTTTCCACTCTCTGACTGCTCAGCGGGTTCACATTGCTGACTAGTGGCCATGCACAGAGGAATCAAAGATAACGAGCAGAAAATAAAGACTCTCGCAAACATCTGGCTTGGATTGAGTTTTACTGAAAAGATAAATAGATCAGTTAGGGTGATTGTGAAGGGATTGAAGGTTTCTGGAAATGAACGATTTATTTCAATACGATTAGGTTAGTGTTTTCGACATTTCGTTAGGGGAGAGAGCTTAATCGGTAGCGGTTCATCGTGGAGCGAAAACGTTACATTGCTTAGCTCATGAGGTACATCGTTAACTTTAAACCGGCGGTACATCATTCAGAGAAAACGAGAATTCAGGGTTGTGAATTGAATAGCTGAGTTATAAACCGTCTCATTTAAGATATTGTTTGATTATCGTCGTCAACTTCTAATTTTCGCGATAATCGTCAATTTTCGTAGCTCTACGTAAGCTCAATACTAAGACCTCAGACGTTTTTGTGACTAAAGTGATTTGACATTGAAGTATTCCAACTGCGAGAATGTTTTCCTCATTGTAGGTTGATGAATGCGTAAAAAAAATGCCTGATGAAACACGTGGAATTCCCGACGTGATTCCAGTCTTCGTGCAAACTTAGTGCAACCGTGGCAACCTAACTATTTCCGCCCCGATGTATTTTCGATCTGATCAATTTTGCTCTACATTTTGATGATCTCGAGCCAACAAATTTAGGTGCTGAATGGCGGTGATACGCCATTTCAGAAAAAGGGACAAACCTTTCTTAAAGTAAAGTCAAAAACTGCCAGCAAACACACGGAAACGTTTTCGACGGGAATGAAGCGTGGCGTTAGAAGTTCAGAGCTACAAAATAGGATAAGTTGAAGAATTGTAAACGGAATAGCTTCTTCCTCGAGCTAAAATGTGCTCTTAATATCTTTCCGTGAAATTTTGCTTTCCTCGAGCCTCAAAACTAAAGCTTGATTAAACTTTACAGATGTACTCCATCTGATGAAACTTCCGTGAGATATGTCATACAGTATCAAGATGTGCACCATTGTCACATGCTTGGAGCGATGCGAATATCACTGTCTCTTAGCCCATTTCTCTGCAATTTCTTCAAAGTTTGTTCACCTTTAGGAGTAATGCCGATATTTGTTATAATTATTTAGAAGTCTAAACATGAGTTAATCATTGATCCTAGGCTTAAAAATGTTAGCCTCCTGAGCAGATCAGTGGTCTGACGGATATAAATTTACATATATTTACGCCGAAATGAGTTGTTATAGTTGTTTATCCTGAATCCAACAAAGACAGAAAGAAAAAATCGAAAAAATTGCAAATCAGCAAGATAGAAACTATCGTCAACAATCGTGTCTAATTTGAACACGTCCAAAAAACATGATAGCTGATGCATGATAGTCGACGAAAGTGCATGATAGTTCGTGCTCAAACGCGCGTGATAGTTGGAACTATCATCAGCTATCATGAGTGTTTGAACGGGGCTTTTTTTTTGGCTAAGGGGCGCAGGATGTTCAAACACCGAGATATCTCTATCTCGACATTTACTTTTCGCTTCAATTCCTAAAGCATAGCCTCCAGATGTGGTAGAACTTGTTCTTACGCAGCGTACAACGTATAAAAAGGGCTGTGAATATCATACCTAACTGTCTTCCTTCAACACACCATTCATCTGAAGTTTCTGTCAGCAGCTATCGGTACGCTTATACGGGCTCGTGACTTGATAACATCGAATGTGCAGCAGATATTTCAACGTATTTCGAACTTTTTTGCAGGAGGTATAGAATGTAATGGACGTCCTAATACGCAATCGTTCCTTACTGAAGCGTGTCAACTTTCTTTTTTTCTATTAAAAACGGATCAATGACACTAAAGGTTATTTGCACCAGGTGCGGAGCGCTGTTTTGGCGAAACGTGACTCTCGCCTTGCAGCATATACAGGTGTTTTGGTAAGACGGGTTTTATTTGATAAAGGTCTGTACAACTTAAAATGGACTTGTAATGTTTAGTTAGCCTAAACATAATATTATCGTGTGCTTTTTTAATGTAATCGTCTTTGATTTGTAAGCCTAATTCTTAATAGTTGGGTTTTACATGTCAACACACGCATTGGATGGTCCGGCTACGACTATCCGTAAATAACATATCCCACGGCCTAGACCGGAGGCCTCCTTCTCTGTTTCCTTATGTTCTCTTGATAAGTTTTGAATTCTTAAAACAAAACTGTTTGTATCCCGTTCAACGATAGTTATCTTATAAGACTTGATATTTAATCACCGGAAGCTAATTTTGAATATCCCATCATTTGATCACCACAAATGGAAATACATTACCATTTACTCATTAAACAGTTGAAGTCAAATTCGTAGATAAGTAACGTCCCCGGAGGGAATGATCCAGTAAAATGTTCATTCAAGTGTAGCAATGCAATTAAATCTTAAAATTCCCCTAATCGATAATATTATAATTTCTTCGTTAAGTTCGATCATAGGTTTGATGCAATTTTAATGGTGTTCATCGCCAAACGTTCAAGAGTCAGAAAACTAAGGAAAGAAAACGGCCAATAGTTGAGTCTTGAACGAGCCAAGACAGCTCCCCCTCAACGCCCAACAACATCATCCCTTTAGAAGAAATCGTAGCCACCTTTCAAGCTTATAAACGCAGCAAAGCCTATCAAAGTTCAAAAACTGAAATACGAAATAGTAGCCCACGCTAATTAAAATCATTCATTTCGTTTTTTATCTCATTGGTAGCCATGAAACTCTAGGCCCAAACGCGAATGCGAATACTGAACGTATACGAACGTTACTCACCGTTTTAGATTCATTGTTGGCTTCCAAAGGAGCCGTTTTCCTTTGTTTTTTTTTCTTCTGGCGAAATGACTTTATCATCTTCAAGACAAAGTTCTATTAGATTCGAAAAAGCCCTCAGGATTTGTCTGGTGGTTTTCAGGTGGTCAGATACTCAAAACGTACAAAATGTGACCAAAACAATTTCTTTATTATTATTATTATTATTATCGATATGGACAAATATGAAACTGTGAACTAAACTCAGTCAAGGGGGTTTGCCTCGTGAGCATCTTAGTCCATAGAAACTTACAACAATGTAGTTCTGCCAAGAATTTTCAGTTTACGTAATTGTTAAAGTTTTTGGGTCAGCACTCAGTTCGAAGGTGAGCCTTAAAAATTGCTGCAAAAAAATGCGCGAAAATTATGTCAAACTCATTAGACACTTGAGTGATGAAGCGGCTATGCATCACTTGTGCATTAGTTGTGCGTTGATAGGGAAACGATTCGAAAGATTCGTGTGCGAGCTGATAACTGTGGGAGCGAACTTGCAATGGGGCAAATTTATCATAAACCAGCCCATCAACAGGTCAGGGTGACCATTTCCGTAGCATCTTCAAAGCCTCTATATATGAATATCAATTTCATTTTCAGAATCATTATAATCATTATCAGCATTATCATTATAACAATCGTTAAGTTTTTTTTATCATAAAAATCATTTTTAATGTTATTATTATCATTATGATAATAACCATCATTATCATCATCATCATTATTATTATCACACTCATTATTTGCAAGCTAATATCATTTATCATTAAACTTGTGAGTTATACGAATTTGCTGCTATTTTTCAGTGTCCGCTGGTGGTTTCCATTGTCACACCTGTCTAACAAATCCACTCCAGCCTTCATCCCAGTGCAACATGTCAACTACAAGAAAGACTTGTGGTGGCAGCTCTCTTGATACGTAATCTTTTGCGTAGAGAGAATGAAAAAATGGTAAATTTTGAGCTCAGTGATGAGATAGAGAAAGATGTTTGTTTTTGTCACGAGTGTAGGAAAAAGGAAACAAAGATCCCATGAATATTCGAACCTCAAACCTTCGGATTTCGAGCTCCAATAGACAGGACGTGTGTTGCATTTGAAACTTCGTATTGGCCCAACTCACCTAGTAGCCCAACTCACTCCGTAGTCTTAATGGCTCGAGGGAATTGTGTCGGAGGGTCTAAGTATGGATTCCTCATAGGGAGCCAGAATTTTTCCTTTGTCCTACACTCGTGACAAGACAGATAAATATCTTTCTGCAGGTAATCTTTTCTTCGCAATTCTAAGCCAAGAGTACGTTATCTCAACCTCTAGAAAAGCCACATCACAATTCATGCAAAACTACAAAAGTTATTAAATTTCCTGTTTGCAGTTCATTTTGATCTTCCTTATTCTTGACTATCATAGGTGCTTTGTATTCTATTTGTGGCTCGTTGACGTTTTGTGTAACCCATCTCTAATATAGCAGTGTTTAGAGGTTCTTTCTAATTTGAGGTAAAGTTTAGGGAACCATGAACTACTCAAGGTCGTTTTACATGTGTGGGAACGAAAAAACTAACAAAAAAAATTGTGAAATTTAAATAAAACTCAAGAATATCGTTGCGCCTGCTTTTTCATACTATTTTATAACAACAACACCAACTTGTTTGAAAATCTGGCTGCGCCCTTGTGAGAACCATGTCAATTTCTTGAAAAACAAATACACCTAGAACAAATATATCCAGTGGTTTTAACCAATGTCTTTGGTTAAAAAAATTCCTCCATTTGGGAATTCCCCAGTTTTTCTTTGGACAAGTGGTTGTTGCTATGGTTAATTTGATTATTTCTGTAATTGGTGGGTTGGCTGAGTGGACTTAGTATGATTGGCTGCTTCAACTGTCTGATTACAACCAACTGTCTGACTACAACTGTACAGAATGATAAGTGAAAAATGAAGCTGCGAATGCACTAACAAGATTTGAGGAATTTTTAATGGCTATGATAAACCTAAAAACTGTTGCTGCGCACCCTGCGACTCAAAAAATTGCGACGCAAATTTTAGGAGCGGAGCGGGGTTAGAGGATGTTGGGTGTAATATCAGGGAACGTTTTTTTGCAAATTTCCTGGTGGAGGCTACTACTTGCAGGGAAGATTGCATGGTGTTCTGAATATGACATTTGCTTCTATTTTTCGTTTTTTAGTGAATGTTTTGCAGTGACACCCGAGTTGAACAGCGGTTCCATTATAAGCTTAAAAGAGTGCTATATCAAGAGGAATGACCAAGACATCTACGGGTATACCACTGCTTGCAACAGAACTGAAAATATGACTGGTGCTGTAAGTCCTTTCAAGCGTTGTGAAGCCAAGTGCTGTTCAACCGAGCATTGTAACAAGTACCTCGTTCCAGACTTGATACCACTACATTCCCACACTCAACTGGCCCAGCATCAACAAGCATTGCTCTGACGGCAGCTAACACCACAAAAGCGAGCACCACCAAAGTTCCTGAATCTGGCGGCATCAACATTGAAGCTTTCTGTCTTCTCTCAGTCCTTTTGCTTTTTGGAATCCAAATGACAATTTAAGCACTTGATTTACAAAATTGCTGCACGCTGGACTTATTATTAATAGCTTTTTATTTTGGTCCTTTTTTTTAAGGCATCATTTTAGCGTGTTTAATTTGTAGGGAAATTGAGTAAAATGATGTAATTTCACTCAACGGTACAAAGAATTAAAAATGCTTCTCTCGGCCTCCAGACAGTATTCTGAATACCTTGGTTACAGTTTTTTTTATCATAGAAACCTCCCAGCCAGTAAGTAACATATATAGCTCGCAAGTCTTCAAAATTATCCTAAATCAATTTCTCCTGGATATGTGCTGTTCGCTTCTCAGAAACCCTACCCCAATATTGTTTATTCTACGGCCAATAATAGACCCATCTTGGTTATTTTTTGTAATACAATAACTTACAACTTTTTAACCATGGATCCTCCCATTTTAAATATCTTATTACCAGAGTTTTCGTACCTCAATAATCTCGGAAATGTACGACCTCATTCTAGTAACTATCGAAAATGCAAACCTGTATGCTCAGTCAAGTAATGAAAATGTGACCCCATCCTGCAGCACATCCCCATCAGCCTATTACAAGGAAGTGACCCCTTCCCCATACTCTTGGCTAATAAAACAAGCATAATTTGCCTTGGGGAATGACTCTCGAGACTTCCAAGGTAGAATTTTTGCTTTTTGTTTATCAACATTCTCCAAGATTCAAACACAAAGCCAAAAACTTTTGACCGGGGGAGACAATGAAGGGATTTTGGGTTTGGCACTCCTTCTAAGTTTCGCTCGGCACATACCAACAAGAAGTTGTGGAGCTTTCCAATCACATGGAAGTCTATGAGGAAATGCAAACAGTTAATTGCCCTTGAATTTGCTTTGCAGGGCAAATTGCAAACTTAAAACCAGAAAAGACCAAAGGCTCTCCCTTTTTAATTAACCTTCCGGGTGTGCTAAAAAATCGCCTCTTGACCAGTTCAACCAAAAATTCATGAAAATCACGGGAACAATCTTCCTTAGTGACATTTTGTATGAAATGGGGAAAAAAATCACGAAAATGTCCACAATCCGAAACAATTAGTAATCTAAGCATTATGAATTAAGTGTCTGTCAAGCTGCACTGAGAACAATTTTAAAATCCCATAGTTTTAATCATAAAACTTTTTTAAATTAATCCTTTAACTCCTGGATAAAATTAGATTCTCCTTAGTGTCAACCATGCAATTCATGTAATGTTAGTTACGAGAATTTAGTATTGGATCAACTATTTATCACCAAATTGATATTTTTCTCTATTCTCATCACTTATCTGTTTGATATTGTAAGGAGAAATTCTGTTTTGGTCAC